GGTCTCCGCCGGCATCCCAGCCTTCCCGAGGGAGGGTACAAACAGCAACGCAAACCGTCAGGGTGGGGGGCACAGGGCACCCAGCACCTCTCAGGTCTAGAAGAGTTTTGGAGAAAATCCCACTGAATACGCACGGTCACCCCAAGACACCAATAATTAACGCTGTAACCTACATTATTCATAGCAATGTCGCCTGTACCAGGGCTATGCTTGTACCCCATGGAGGTTTTGGAAGCGGAGCTGCTCTCTGCGCTCATCAGAATAGTCCTGCTGGGATTAGTTAATTTAACCCCCACGGCTCCTCTCTCCAAGAGCCCTCCATGCGCTCCACCCTCACCCCCTCAAGGTTTTCCTTTCTAGGAACATCTCCAGCTGATGGGTGAGCCCAGCACCAGCCTGGATCATGCTCCCGCGCTGCCTGGACCGTGGCTGTCCTTTCCAAGAGCTCCTCACACTCCTGTATCCGTGGGGTGGGTGAGGAAAGCATCTGCCTGAACCACATCCGTGACGAGTGGCTGGAGTTTGCTCCCAGTCCCACGGGAGGGAAGCACAAATAATCCGTCTGCAGTGTGGGCACCTGGGATCCACACTGTAGCCTTGAGTATGGTACTAATTATCTCCTCCTAATTTTCCCAAGCAGGAGGGGACGTTACCCGAACGCCAACTTCAGCAATTAAATCCTCTGTGCTTTTGCAAACAGCACAAAATTTTCATTCCCTGTTTTTTTAATTTCCATGCAAGGGATTTTTTCTACCCTGTTCTATTTAAAGCAACTTATTTGGATGTCATTTACACAAGTTTTTTTTTCCTTCACGGCGCGGTTTCTCTTAACTTGCTGTTGATCACTCATGGGAGTGAACACCCTGAGCCTTGCGCAGCGCATCCCGGGGAGCCGGGGCTGCTCCGTGGGGTCCAGCACTGCCGGCTACACGGCCGGGATCCGTGGGATGCTTGTGAGGATTCTTTTAAAACATGAGCTATCAGAAAGGGTTGCTTTCACCAAATCACAAGATCATAAAGGGTACAAACCTCCCACCCCAAATTTACGGATGCTTAATCCAGTTTGGACAGCGCTAGTTTTCTCTTTGTCATCCCAGAGCTGCAAAGCACCTCCAACCACGCTGGAGAAGGAGGGAACGACACCAGGAAGGAGTGAATGGAAGGGGATTTTGAGCGAAGAAAGACACAAAACAGAAGAGAGACAGCTGTCAGAAGTTGGGTCGGTCCCTAAACTGTCCTCCCCGGACAGGAACTGCTGCATACAAAGAAAAGGAACAGCGAGTTTTTCAACATCGGAAAGATGGAAAAGAGGTTCCATTCTCCAAAAGAAGACTTAAAAAGCCCGGCAATGTCCTTACCCCCTCCGTTTTGGTAGCAGATGTAAGGGAACCGCCAGACGTTGCCCAGATCGACGGCGAATCCAATGACCGAGAGGAGGAAATCCATCTTTTTGCTCCACTTGTCCCTGGGGTGGGTTTGGGACCCTGGGGGCACGGGGCTGGCCGTGGGACCCGGGCGGGGGGCTGTGCC